ATTTTTTGGGATAATTTTGGGATTTTTTGGGGATTTTTTTGGGATATTTTCAGGATATTTTTTGGGATTTTTTGTGATTTTTTTGGGATAATTTCAGGATATTTTGGGGATTTTTAGGGAATTTTTTGGGATATTTTGGGGGTATTTTGAGGATATTTTTGGGAAATTTTTGGGATATTTTTGGGACGTTTTGGGTCTGTTTTGGGGATATTTTGGGGATAATTTCAGGATATTTTGGGATACTTTTTGGGATTTTTTTGGGATAATTTGGGGATAATTTCAGGATATTTTGGGATTTTTTGGGGATAATTTCAGGATATTTTTGGGAAATTTTCTGGGATTTTTTGGGATAATTTCAGGATATTTTTAGGATTTTTTGGGGATAATTTCAGGATATTTTTGGTATAATTTTGGGATTTTTGGGGGAATTTTTTTGGGGATAATTTCAGGATATTTTGGGAAATTTTTGGGATAATTTTGGGATTTTTTGGGATTTTTTTGGGATATTTTTTGGGATTTTTTGTGATTTTTTTGGGATAATTTCAGGATATTTTGGGGATTTTTAGGGAATTTTTTGGGATATTTTGGGGGTATTTTGAGGATATTTTTGGGAAATTTTTGGGATATTTTTGGGACATTTTGGGTCTGTTTTGGGGATATTTTGGGGATAATTTCAGGATATTTTGGGATTTTTTGGGGATTTTTTTGGGATAATTTCAGGATATTTTGGGGATATTTTGGGGGATTTTTTGGGATAATTTCAGGATAATTTGGGATATTTTTGTGATTTTTTTGGGATAATTTCAGGATATTTTTGGGTTATTTTTTGTGATTTTTTGGGAATAATTTCAGGATATTTTGGGGATTTTTTTGGGGATAATTTTAGAATTTTTGGGGATATTTTGGGGTAATTTTGGGATTTTTTGGGGGATTTTTTTGGGATAATTTCAGGATAATTTGGGATATTTTTGTGATTTTTTGGGGATAATTTCAGGATATTTTGGGATATTTTTTTGGGATATTTTTGGGATAATTTCAGGATAATTTCAGATTTTTTTAGGATGTTTTTTGGGATATTTTTGGGACGTTTTGGGTCTGTTTTTGGCCCCTTTCCCCAGGCACCAAGAACGTGATCAGAGCCTGCCAGGCCCAGGGGGTTCCGATCCTCGTCTACACCAGCAGCATGGAGGTGGTGGGGCCCAACACCCGGGGGGACCCTTTCGTCAGGTAAACCCCAAAAAAACACCAAAATCGACCCAAAAAAACACCAGAAATGGATTCAGGGACCCAAAAAACCCCAAAATCGACCCAAAAAACCTCAAAATCGACCCAAAAACCCCTAGAAATGGATTCAGTGACCCAAAAAACCCCAAAATCGACTCAAAAAACCCCAAAATCGACCCAAAAACCCCAAAATCAACCAAAAAAACCCCAAAATCGACCCAAAAAAACCCCAAAATCAACCCAAAAAACCCCAAAATTGACACAAAAAATGCAAAAAATGCCCCAAAAAACCTCAAAATCATCCCCAAAAACCAGAAATTTTTCTGTGAATTTTTGGGAATTTTTGGGGAATTTTTTTGGAATTTTTGGGGGGAATTTTGGGAATTTTTTTGGATTTTTTCCATGAATTTTTGGGGGAAATTTTTGGGAATATTTTTGGGAATTTTTGGGAAATTTTTTGGGATTTTTTGGGAATTTTTTTTAATTTTGGGGGGAATTTTGGGGAAATTTTTGGGAATTTTTTCTGTAAATTTTTGGGAATTTTTTCTCAATTTTTGGAATTTTTGGGGAATTTTTGGGGAATTTTTGGGGAATTTTGGGGGAATTTTTTTGGAATTTTTTTGGAATTTTTTTGGAATTTTTGGGGGAATTTTGGGGATTTTTTTTTAATTTTTGGGGGAATTTCTGGGGATTTTTTGGGAATTTTTTTGGAATTTTTAGAGAATTTTTTTTTAATTTTGGGGGGAATTTTGGGAATTTTTTTGGAATTTTTGGGGGGATTTTTTGGGATTTTTTTTGAATTTTGGGGGAATTTTTGGGGATTTTTTGGGAATTTTTGGGGAATTTTTTTGGAATTTTTAGAGAATTTTTTTTTAATTTTGGGGGGAATTTTTTTGGAATTTTTGGGGAATTTTTTCTGTGAATTTTTGGGAATTTTTTGGGGATTTTTAACCCTTTCACCGCCGCATTCCCCGCATCCCCTTAAAAATTTCCCCTCCCCCCTGGGGCGGAATTTTCCCGGGATTTTTTCTGGGGTGAATTCCCGGGATTTCGGGGATTCCATGGGAATTTTTTTGGGGAATTTTTGAGGGAATTTTTGGGAATTTTTTTGGAATTTTTGGGGAATTTTTTCTGTGAATTTTTGGGGATTTTTGGGGATTTTTGGGGGAATTTTGGGGAAATTTTGGGGAATTTTTGGGATTTTTTTGGGAATTTTTTTGGGATTTTTTTTGAATTTTTGGGGGAATTTTTGGGAATTTTTTTGGAATTTTTTTGGAATTTTTTTGGAATTTTTGGGGGAATTTTTGGGAATTTTTTGGGGGGAATTTTAACCCTTTCACCGCCGCATTCCCCACATCCCCTTAAAAATTTCCCCTCCCCCCGGGGGCAGAATTTTCCCGGGATTTTTTCTGGGGTGAATTCCCGGGATTTCGGGGATTCCTGGGAATTTTTTTGGGGAATTTTTGAGGGAATTTTTGGGAATTTTTTTGGAATTTTTGGGGAATTTTTTCTGTGAATTTTTGGGGATTTTTGGGGATTTTTTGGGGATTTTTGGGGGAATTTTTGGGGAATTTTTTCTGTGAATTTTTGGGGATTTTTGGGGATTTTTGGGGAAATTTTGGGGGAATTTTTTGGGAATTTGTGGGGGAATTTTTGGGGAATTTTTTGGGATTTTTTTTTAATTTTGGGGGGAATTTTTGGGGAATTTTTTTTTAATTTTTTGGGGATTTTTTGGGGAATTTTTTGGGAATTTTTTTGGAATTTTTGGGGAATTTTGAGGGATTTTTTTTTATTTTTGGGAATTTTTGGGGAATTTTTGGGATTTTTTTTTTAATTTTTGGGGGAATTTTGGGGGAATTTTTGGGGAATTTTTGGGGATTTTTTGGGAATTTTTTGGGGAATTTTTTTTGAATTTTGGGGGGAATTTTGGGGTTTTTTTGGAATTTTTGGGAATTTTTTGGGGGGAATTTTAACCCTTTCACCGCCACATTCCCCGCATCCCCTTAAAAATTTCCCCTCCCCCCGGGGGCAGAATTTTCCCGGGATTTTTTCTGGGGTGAATTCCCGGGATTTCGGGGATTCCATGGGAATTTTTTTGGGGAATTTTTGAGGGAATTTTTGGGAATTTTTTTGGAATTTTTGGGGAATTTTTTCTGTGAATTTTTGGGGTTTTTTGGGGATTTTTTGGGAAATTTTGGGGGAATTTTTTGGGAATTTGTGGGGGAATTTTTGGGGAATTTTTTGGGATTTTTTTTTAATTTTGGGGGGAATTTTTGGGGAATTTTTTTTTAATTTTTTGGGGATTTTTTGGGGAATTTTTTGGGAATTTTTTTGGAATTTTTGGGGAATTTTGAGGGATTTTTTTTTATTTTTGGGAATTTTTGGGGAATTTTTGGGATTTTTTTTTTAATTTTTGGGGGAATTTTGGGGGAATTTTTGGGGAATTTTTGGGGATTTTTTGGGAATTTTTTGGGGAATTTTTTTTGAATTTTGGGGGGAATTTTGGGGTTTTTTTGGAATTTTTGGGAATTTTTTGGGGGGAATTTTAACCCTTTCACCGCCACATTCCCCGCATCCCCTTAAAAATTTCCCCTCCCCCCGGGGGCAGAATTTTCCCGGGATTTTTTCTGGGGTGAATTCCCGGGATTTCGGGGATTCCATGGGAATTTTTTTTGGGAATTTTCCAGGGGTGACGAGGAGACCCCGTACCCCACCCGACACTCGGAGCCGTACCCGCTCAGCAAGGCCCAGGCCGAGCGCCTCGTGCTGGAGGCCAACGGGAGCAGAGTGAGAATTCCCGGGAAAAAAAATCGGGAATGAGGGGGGGGT